AGGACAGGTCCATACCTGAGAGTGTCCAGTGTGCAGTGGGGGTCCTCCTGTAGAGCAGACAGGAGCTTTACTCCTGTGTCTCCCGGATGGTTGTAGCTCAGATCCAGTTCTCTCAGATGGGAGGGGTTGGACCTCAGAGCTGAGGCCAGAGAAGCACAACCTTCCTTTGAGACCAGACAACCTGACAGTCTGAGGAGACATATTATTGTAATCAGTCAATTAATTAGTGAAACCCAAATGAGACAAATGACAAGCCCTATATCTTGATGTTACTTTTACCAGTTATTATTTTTCAAGGTAAAACAACAGGTTATGTAATAATGGTGAAAAATATAAACCACACTGACCTGAGCTGTTCCAGTTTACAGTGAGGACTCTTCAGTCCAACACACAATTTCTTCAGCCCTGAGTCCTTCAAGTCGTTATGACTGAGGTCCAGGACTCTCAGACTAGAGGACTGGGATCTGAGAACTGAGGACAGAGCTTCACAGCTTCTCTCTGACAGGTTACAGCTGCTCAATCTGGAGGAGGCAACAGTAGCTCATTAGAGAAGACTTTAGAACACAAATAAGCTACATTACATTCAACCTTAAAATAAACAATTCTATTGTATTTATTAGAGTCCGACCGATATGGATTTTGTTGTGGCCGATATGAAACCGATATAATGGGAGTTGGAGCTCCCGATAGCCGATATAATCACCGATATATTTTGTGATGTAAAAATTCACTGTAAATCTTGAATTGTTTAAAAAACTTAAGTTTGGCTCTGGTGGATTTTAAATTGGGTTTATTTAGGCAACATTTATCGTTATTCTGCCTCTTTGCGTCATATTTACAGACAGTAGGTCGCCCTAATGGCATTTTTGCATCACATTCTAGCAGCGAGTGATGGGTATTCCAGTTCTTTTTAGAGAACCGGTTCTTTTGGCTCGAATCACTAAAAGCATCTGGTTGTTTCAGCTCCCAAGCGGCTCTTCAGATTGTTTTGTTGCAAGAAGGACTAAAGCAGGTCTAAACCAAGACTGAAAAAGGACTAAACCAGGACTAAAACAAATCTAAACCATGTGTAAAGCAGGACTAAACCAAAACTGAACCAGGAGTGAGTGTCAGGATTCGGTCTCTACATCTCTCCCTCTCTGGAGAAGATTAGTCCTGGTTTATTTATTTTATGCTGAACTACAGCCAAACATGCACGTTTTTTTTATCCTATGCATGCACATATTTCTAAAAGTTTCGTTTTCAGCCGCTGCAGCTGTCAAACTACCACAAGTCTGCACGTGGCGTAAAGAGAAAAAAAAGTGAGAGAAAGAGAAAACACAGCTCCCAATAAGGAGCAGGCTCCCGTTGTTCGCTTCAAAGAGCCGACTCTAAGAGCCGCTTCGTTCACAACTGACCCATCACTACTAGCTAATAAAGAAACTAGCACTATTAGCCTTTAGATATAAATGCTGCGTGCCGAGGTAATTAATTATATGTGTAAATGTTATAATTCATACGTGTTTTCACAGCTCATTTACATATCAATGCAGGTCCATTAACAAATATATGGCCAATGTAGTCAATTTACAATAGATCAAAAGAAAACTGCCTATTTATGTGTGAGAGCTACAGTACAGGAGCTAACCAATAACAAATAAGCAAAACTAGCTTCAAAGTCGACATATTTCCAACACTCAGCGTCACACAGGCTCCACCTCACATCACAAGTCTGCACTAATAAATGTCCTTTTAATTAATCCAGACTCAAACCGATTGTCCGTAAAAAGAATATAATCTCAGTGTTTGGATCTGTGTCTGTGAGTGTCAACAAACACACGTGAGTGATGTGACGTGACGTGAGTGACGTGTGTTGAGGGACAGTACGGACACACACAGTCAAATGACTCCGCAGATAAATACTGATGCAGAGCCACATATTAGGACATTTATCTGTCTGTAAATTGGATTAATTAAATAAACATAATGTAGAGAGTCTAAGATTTATAACGACGTATCACATGCCCATGTGAAATATCGGCCCCTATCAGCAAGCATATCAGCCGATAATATCGGCCAACCGATATATCGGTTAGGCTCTAGTATTTATGGAAACAAAAACATGACTTATATATCTTATAAGGTAGCTGGTATATTACCAATCCTTAAACATGGAGAGTTAGTTATTCGTTTCATGGAAAAGAGCTTAATAAAAAATGTATTTGAGTGTGACATGAACCTAGGTTTGTCCAGACTGTCTAGAAACAGTAATGTACATTGAATGAACCAGTGCATTTCTATATATTTCTGACCTGATCTGTTCCAGTTTACAGTGAGGACTCTTCAGTGCAGCACATAATATCTTCAGCCCTGAGTTCTTCAATTCATTGTGACTGAGGTCCAGGACTCTTAGACTAGAGGACTGAGAGCTGAGGACTGAGGACAGAACTTCACAGCTTCTCTCTGACAGGTTACAGCTGCTCAGTCTGGAGAGAGAAAACATTGTTTATGTAAAACCTGAATCAAATCATCCTCTGTTAAACAAAATTTACACACAGAGCTTTGTTGGAGGCCTTGACCACTGGCAGCAGCCTCAGGAGAGCCTCCTCTGAAGCACAGTATTTCTTCAGCTCAAACTGGTCCAAATCTTTTTCTGATGACAGTAAGATGAAGGCCAGAGCTGACCACTGAGCAGGAGACAGTCCACCTTCAGACAGACGTCCTGATCTCAGGTACTGTTGGATCTGCTCCACCAGAGAACGATCATTCAGTTCATTCAGACAGTGGAGCAGGTTGATGCTCCTCTCAGCAGACACATCCTCACTCAGCTTCTTCTTGATGTACTCAGCTGTTTTCTGATTGGTCTGAGAGCTACTTCCTATTTGTGTAAACAGACCTTGTAGAAGGCTCTGATTGGTTGACAGTGAAAGACCCAGGAGGAAGCGAAGCAGCAGGTCCAGGTGTCCATTTGGACTCTGTAAGGCCTGGTCCACAGATGTCTGATGAAGATGTTTTAAATTTCTTTTCACACTGAATTTTGAAGACTTCTGTGTTTTCTCTGAGAGCAGGTTGATCCCAGTGTTGATGAAGGTGAGATGGACATGAAGAGCAGCCAGAAACTCCTGCACACTCAGATGGATGAAGCAGTAGACCTTGTCCTGGTACAGACCTGGCTCCTCTCTAAAGATCTGTGTGAACACTCCAGAGTACACTGAGGCCGCTGCAGCGTCCAGCCCACACTCACTCAGGTCACTCTCGTAGAAGATAAGGTTTCCTTTCTGCAGCTGCTCAAAGGCCAGTTTTCCCAGAGACTTCACCATCTTCCTGGTCTCTGAACTCCAGTGTGGGTTTGTCTCAGATCCTCCTTCATACTTGATGTTCTTGACTTTGGCCTGAACCACCAGGAGGTGGATGTACATCTGAGTCAGGGTCTTGGGCAGCTCTCCTCTGCTTTTCAACAGATGCTCCAGGACTGTGGCAGAGATCCAGCAGAAGATCGGCATGTAGCACATGATGTGGAGGCTTCTGGACGTCTTGATGTGGGAGATGATTGTGTCGGCCTCGTCTCTGAACCTCTTCCTGAAGTACTGCTCCTTCTGTGGGTCGGTGAACCCTCTGACCTCTGTCACCACGGAGATGCACCATTCAGGGATCTGACTGGTCGCCGCAGGTCGTGTGGTTATCCAGAGGCGAGCGGAGGGAAGCAGGCTCCCCCTGATGAGGTTCACCAGCAGCACGTGCACTGAGGCGGACTCTGTGGGGTCAGTCAGGGCCTTGGTTTTGGTGAAGTCCAGAGGAAGTCTGCACTCGTCCAGACCGTCAAAGATGAAGAGCACCTGGAGATCTTCAAAGCTGCAGAGTTCTGCTTGTGTTTGACTAAAGAAGTGATGAACAAGTGTCACCAAGCTGAAGCTTCTCTCCTTCAGCACATTGAGTGCTCTGAAAGTGAACGGGAACAGCAGGTCAATGTCCTGGTTGGCTTTACCTGTAGCCCAGTCCAGACTGAACTTCTGAGTGAGCACTGTTTTCCCGATGCCAGCCACTCCCTTTGTCAGCACTGTTCTGATGGCTCCATGTGTGTGAGCTGGACCTTTAAACATGTCTTCACATGTGGTGCTTTTCTCTGCTGGGCCTGGTGTTCTGGAGGCTGTTTCCATGTGTCTGACCTCATGTTCCTGGTTGACCTCTGAAGACTCTCCCTCTGTGATGTAGAGCTCTGTGTAGATCTCATTCAGAAGTGTGGGGTTTCTTGCTTTAGCGATGCCCTCAGACACACACTCAAACTTCTGCTGCAGGTCAGACTTCAGTTTACTCTGATAAACTCCAGAACAACTTCCTGAATGAAGACAATGGATACAGTCCTGAGTCTCAAAAGATAAACTAACTGTGAACACCTTGTTTTAATGTGTTAAATGGTCCTACTGCGCTTAAGACGCTCAGCCAGCTCCTTCTGCTTCATCCTCCTCAGGAAGTTCAGTGTGATCTTCAGAACAGCCTCACCGCAGCTCCTCTGCTCTTCATCCTCATCCTCCACAGGCTCTAAGCATTCTGGGTAATCTGTACTCAGAACCTTGTAGAGCTTCTTCAGCTCCTTCTGGACAAAAGTGAAGATGTCCTCCTCCAGAAGCTGAACAGACACATTATGATCAACACAAATGAAGTCAGATCTGTGTAAAACAAGTTCTAATCCTAACATCATGAAAATTCCGACAACATTTATTTGCCATTTGTGCACATCAATTCTAGTGCAAGGCTCTAAGGTGATCCAGTAAACAATATTTAAAATCAGCAACTTGGGTTCTTTTTAAAGACAATACAGAAGGGGAATGTCCCTTTTTGACATGATTTCTATATGTGTCCGGTTTGTGATCTGCAGCTACATGTTAAAGACATGTATAGTCTTTAAAAATAACTGAAGTTGGTAATATATAAAATACAAAGGAACATTTTTGGAACATTTGTCAAAAAGACAGTTAAGATTTAAACATTATTTAAGCACAGACCTTAAATATGGACTCCAGCTGTGTCTGATGGTGCTGACCATGGGGGACCTCTGAATACAGCTGTTCGTTACTGTCAGAAAGAGACCGTAGGGAACAACATTTTTGGCAGACATATCTCATAGTCTTTCCTCTAACTATAGTGTGTCATACTTGGCAATGGCAATAGGATGTTCAGCAGTCACCAAGGAAACACAATGAATACATTTACTGATGTATTCATTAGTAAATACACCAAAAAAGTTTGTAAAGAAAAAAATTGTAACTTGATTTAAACAACACATTTTAAGAGCCTGTGATCAATAACAGCTCACAGTTCTGTAGCAAAGTGCAATTGATTCATTGACCACTTACTCCTCAATGAGTGTGTTTACATGCACATCATTATCCCGGTTATTCGCCATATCCCGGTTATGTCAGTATTCGGGTTACTGCGTTTACATGCGCACTGAGAAACAGGGACACTCATATCCGCGTATACATGAACAAATGGAGTATCCCGGTTTCTTGACATAATCTTACAAATGCGTAAAAATTAACTTAATTCAATTTCATAAACCAGGAAAAACACAAACCGTGAGCTCCTTTAGCATAAGAAACTAAGGAGCTACGAGATCTCCCACAATCCACTGCACACATCAAACCATCAGATTCTTCATTAAAATCTTCTGCATAAATAAACTCAACTTTACAACATATAAACCATAAACACTGTAGAGCCACATCAGCCCGTTTGATCAGATAATTCAGCTGTGATCACATTTGTTTACGTTTTACAGAAACGAAACTTAAGACCGTTTGGCTAATTAGTATAAACTGTTAGTGGTGATAAAAACAGCTGCTCCTTGTGTCACTGATGTGGTTCAGCTTCTTTTGGACTAAATGACACGACTCTGTGGATTATGTGTGTTATTTCTGTGACAGAAGAGGTGCTGATGATGGTGAGTCTGTTCTGTGTGTATATCATAGGAGATAGTTCATGTTTTAGCTTTTCAGCGTCACACGAGTGCAGGTTGTACGAGTGCAGATTGTACATGTGCAGGTTAAGCGCAGCTCTTTATTTTACAGTCATTTCACTCGTTTGGTCACTTTATTTATGTTGGTCAATTTATTTATGTCTCTACTGTTGTGGTGAAAGGCTGGCTTTTGGACGCATGCGACTCAACTTTATGTTGCAGTAACCGGGATTCTGCGTTTACATGCCACAAGTATCCCGGTTACTATCGGAATAAACCACCTACAGTAACCCGGTTTCTAATAACCGGGATACTGCCATAACCGGGATACTGAAACCGGGTTACTGTGTTTACATGCACCATGAAGAAACCGGGATACCCAAAAAACCCGATCATAACCATAACCATGTATATACACTAAATGACTCTTCAAATAAATTTTCGCTTATATATTATATATATATATATATATATATATATATATATATATATATATATATATATATATATATATATATATTTGGGCCGGGCACGTTAATGCGTTAATTTTGCGTTAACTAATTAAGTCATTAACGCCGACAATTATTTTAACGCTGTTAACGCATTTTTATTATTTATTTTTTGTAAACGTCTGTTTCTCACTGGCTTTTATTTTGAAAAAGTCCACCACGAGCATTTCTTTAAGTTTGACATCTTTTCTTTACACTTTTTTCACTTTTTTCCGACCACGTGAGATGCAACGTGCCCGAGCCTCCGCGAGCCGCGGGCCCCGGTGGCGGGCTCCGGCCGCGGGCTCCGGCTGCAGACTTAGCCGCGGGTTCAGCCGCGGGCTCTGAGCTGAGCTTATTTCTTTAGTTCAGTGCTGGAGTCACTGATTTACCCAGATGCCACTGGAAGAAAAAATGTGATTGATACATTTCCATTCCATTATATTAACCCTTTGTTTCCTAAGAAATATCAGTCCGAGTTTATAACACTCATGTAGAAATTATTACTAGTGTCGTGTTTATTACTCACAGCATAAAAAATATTCAATAAATATATTAGTAGTACAAATGGTCTCATCCCTTGTTCCCTTGGAATTTTACTGTGACTTATAAATGTGCAGCTATCACTGAGTGCGTATACATGCACATCAGTATCCTGATTATTATCCATATCCCGGTTCTGTTAGTATTCGGGTTACTGTGTTTACATGTGCACTGAGAAACTGGGACACTCATATCCCTGTGACATGATCAAATGGAATATCCTGGTTTATTGACATAATCTTACAAATGCGCAAGCACAAAATTTAACTTTATTTAATTTAATAAACCAGGAGAAATACAAACCATGAGCTCCTTTAGCAGAGGAAGCTCAGGAGGTTCTAACCAGCGGTGAGGAGCTTTGAGGTATCCCACAATCCACTGCACACATCAAACCAAACACTGCAGCTGATTCTTAATTAAAATATTCTGCATAAATAAACTCAACTTTACAACATATAAACCATAACCACATCAGTCCGTTTGATAAAATAATACAGCTTTGACACATTTGTTTACGTTTTAAAGAAACTAAACTTAAAACCACATGGATCATTTGCATAAACTATAAGCGCTGATGAAAAACAGCTCGCTCCTTGTGCGCTGATGTGGTTCAGATTCTGTTGGACTAAAGGACACGACTCAGTGGAATATGAATGTTCTCTCTGTGACAGAAGATGTTGATGATGGTGAGTCTGTTCTGTGTTCATGTTGTATAGGAGATGGTTCATGTGAAACATTTTAGCGATCATACATGTGCAGGTCATATGAGTGCAGGCTGTATGTGTGCAAGTTTAGGACAGTTATTTCACTCATGTATGATCACTTTATTTATCTTGGTCACTTTATGTTGCAGTGTGGCATGTGTACTGCGTTTACATGCCACAGTATCCCAGTTACTATTGGAATATATCAGCTGCAGTATACTGCCTTATTCAAGATACTGAAACCAGGACACTGCATTTACATGCACCATGAAACCAGGATACTCAAAAAACCCGATCATACACGGAACACTGATGTGCATGTAAACACACTCATCAAGTTCACATATTCATTTTAAGATAGCTTTTATATTCTAATAATATCTTACTGTGGATTGTTGCTTTCTTTAAAGCTTATTCCATGCTCCATTGAGTCATCACTCTTCACTGACACACCACTGATCCAAGGAGCAGATCTGTGGACACAGATGGAGCAGTGGCTTTAGTCTCAGCTCTGACATAGAGAACAGTGGTGGAGGGTTAGAGATCATCTCTTACCTCTGAGGTTTTGGGGGGTGAGTGGTTTTAGAGGGAGGAGCTCTGTCCTTTCTGTGCTGTGACAGATCCATGCTCTGTTCATTTACTTCAAGAAAAAACACATGATTGTTTTTATTTATTTATTATGTTTACACCACAAGTATTCACCAATCAAATTATGTATAAACCTTGGCAACATTTTCAGGGTTTACATCACTCTCTGAGCCATCTTACTGAATCTACCTTTCCTAGTTCTAAATTTCTTTTAGTTATTAGTCAGTAAACTTGATAATGGTGTCATACTCTTTCATTTCCTGAGAATTCCTAATAAAACCTATAGAATAAATTATTTTATTGTGGAAACTTACCTCTCTACAGAATGAGTCTGCAGTGAAACGACTGCCTTGAACTGGGAAATGGAATGTGGTTCAGTCACATGTTTATGCACATATAAAACTAGATTTGTTATCAGATGTGTCTATTGTGTTATATAAATAGAATGACCTTACACACATTATTGAATAGAGCACCTACAGTAGTTGAGATGATGATGCATGTTTAAATGTAGTGAGTGCATGATTTAGACTAAGCTTTACTGAAATGCACCAGAACCTTAGACCCTGAAAGGAAAGTATGAGCAGAGCAGAGGGAGAAAGAGAGAGACTGAAGCAGTAAACAATATTTGAAAGTATACAGCAAAAAAAGACATGGGCTGTGTCCGAATGTCCACACTATTCCCTCTTTTGGGCACTATTTAAGGGTCAGACCATTTTTAGTTGTATCGAAATGTCCATTTGGTGAAAAAGTAGTGCACTTAAAATTTCCCACAATGCACCTTGAAACGTCATGTGCATCATTGGCCACTAGAGCGTCAATATAGACCACAATGCACTGAGAGAGTCAGGAAAACAAAGGTGTTCAGCGACAGGAGTTTAACTGGACACAAGACGACAGACTGAAGCATATAAAAGCGCTGGTTTATGGCTCTGATCCTGATTATGAATAAAACACTCACACTTATTTTCACTTTTCAGACAAAAAGTAAATAATCCAGTCTGTTTACGTGAAATCAACGTGACAAAAACTAAACATTTAGGCCAATACCCGATATGTCTCCAAGTGCTCATATTGGCCGATAGTACATATTCACCAGTCCAATCATAGCAACATTTTCACCACTTACACCACTCTCCATCATATTCTCTCTTATTGAATACAACTTTGTTTTGGGACTAAAACAAAGTTGTATTCAATAAGAGGCTCTTTAAATAAATCTTTTCACATTTGATAGTGATGTTATACGCATTGCTTCTTCATTAGGCCATTGCCTGAGAATTCCTAATAAAACCTATAGAATAAATAATTTTAAAGTGTAAACTTACCTCTCGACAGGACGAGCGTCTGCAGTGAAATGACTCTCACAAGCTCAGAAATGGAATGTGGTTCAGTCATATGTTGAGACATGCACAGTTAATGCACCTGTAAAACTGGATTTGTGTTCAGGTGTGTCTGTTGTCTTATATAAATAGAATTTAGACTTACATGATTGAATACAAACAACACAAACAGTTGGGTCCGGTCAAGCAGAAGTAAACAACAAGGCCAAAAATTCAAGTTAATGCATCTGATATAAAAATGTATTGAACAGATACATATGTACTCTAGTTTATCAAACTGTTGACCTTTTTTCTGTACCATTTTTGGTTCTAAAGTTCCATATGTTTTAAACAGACCATGTATGAAACATGGAACAAAAACTATTTCCCAAATTTCAAAGACCCAAAAATCATGTAAATAAATGGATGTATTTCATCATATCTTGTGTTATTCCATCTTTGAACTGTTGATGAAGGGACATGATTTTTCCAAAAAAAAAAAAATTATTTAAAATGATAAAAAATTGCTTAGAAGGACTGACATATTTTATAGAAATAGTTTCCTTTCATTTTGAAGTAATATTAAAGTATTTGGAAGAAAAAAGCGACAAATTATGTAAAATCCTGCACCTTCTACTTGCTTGCACAATTTTCCCTCCGTTACTTTTCCCTCCGTTACCATGACCTTTCTTAATAAAAAATCTCATGAGTCAAAAAGTAAGAGGTTTTTCAACCTAATCTTGTCCCATATGGTAGAAAACTATATGAAGCAAATATTCAAACCAGTTTGTTAAGGATATGTAAGTGAGAACCAAGAGTTATCACTGTTTGGATTTATTGCCCAAAAAGTGCTGCATATTTCATTCCCTCCGTTACCGACATGAGTTTTTAAATTTTTTGTCAACAACTTGAAAGAATATCACAGGTTTAACTTGACCCTGTTGGAGTGTAACTCTTTCCTACATTCTGATACTTTACTTATTTCAATAGTTCCTCTAGTTTCTGAATAAGAGACATTTGAATGTCAAAAATCTGCCCCTGTTTCCCTCCGTTACCACTTGACTGGACCCATGTGTCATTTTGATGCTTTGAAATTTGTACACTAGTAAATGGATAATGGTTTATGTTTTATAGGTATCTAAGGCTCACTACTTATATTTACTCAACTTCTTGTGACTGCTAAAACTAGCAACTCTCTGGGATTTTCATTTTGTGAAAGTAGCTCACCAGAGGAAAAAGGCTGGAGACACCTGCACTAGACAAATGCCTACAGCAGGAGCCCAACAATGATCAAACTTCTGTTATAAATCTTCTTCTTCTTCTTGTAGTGTTTTATTGGCAGTTGGCAAACAACTAGTGGTGCATTACCACCACCAACTGATATGGACTGTGAACTGAAATGCAACTCGGTGATAATCAAAACAAAATTAATGAATAAAATAAATAAATAAATAAAATAATAATAAAACAACAGTGATCCGTTGATAACTAAAGCAAAATAATGAATCAAACCCTGTTAATCAAATTAATATCGCTGAGAAACTTGAATAAAATTTTAAAACTATTATTCCCTGGATGCTGTTGTAATAATTCTATCAGGTCGAATTTCATTTTTTGTTGTTCAATCCTCTTCTTCATTTTACTTCTTTCTCTTGTGTACTTCCTACATTCCATGAATACATGTCCTATTGTTTCTAGTCGTCTGCAGTTGTCACAGTGTCCGGTGTTATGTTTTCCTATTTTATGTAATGAATAGTTTAATCCTGTGTGTCCGAATCTTAACCTTGAAATTAATGTTTCCATTTTCTTGTTTCCTGCTGAATTGCTTTTTGCTTTTATGGTACCATCAACCTCTCCTCTCAATATCCCATTCTTTTGGACATTTTTCTTTTATTTTCTGTTTAATTATAGTTTTTTTTTTTTTTTTTTTTTTTACCTCGAGTTTACTTAGTTTTACTTCAATATCAACATTTGATTTCTGGCTAGAGTTCTTTGCTTGTTTGTCTGCTGCTTCATTACCTTTGACTCCTATGTGTGCCAGAACCCATAAAAACACCACCACCAATCCCATTCTCACCACCGTATACGTAACCGTGCTGAACTTGACCGTGCAAAAGCCCAGCTTGGTTGCAGGAATAACCCGTCTGTTCGTCTTTCGTTTGTTATATTTTATCTGCATTGTGTGGTGGATAAATGGCCAGGACATGGTGCAGTCTTTTGTGGTTTTAATCTGCATGAAACAAAATATGTACTGGTCAGGAAACCTCGGCTCAACATGGCGAGCAGCTCTACAAGGAGAGCAAGTCACATTAGCTTCTGAAAGTTTGCTTCTGTCACAACATGAGCAACAGTCCATTACTGTGTAATACTCATACTTTGTACAAAATATCAGCTCATAAATGCTCCGGATTACATAAATAAGTTGTACAATTAGGCTGTGATCATATAATGAGCAATTAAACAGAAATACACGATTTTTACTGACAGAGCTAAATTCAGTGACCCACCTTGTGCCCGTCTCTTGCGAACTGGCAACACGCTCACGGCGTCAGGAGCACTTATGGTAAATGGTCACATTTTTCTATAGCGCTTTTCCACCTTCAAGGCACTCAAAGTGCTTTACAACAAGGAACCACTCACCCATTCACACACACATTCACACACCAGTGTACACCAGACACCAGACACTGTGGGCAAGGTGGGTTAAGTGTCTTGCCCAAGGACAGAACACCAGTATTCATCTGTGGGAGCTGGAATCACACCAGCCAACCTGTGGGTCAGTGGATCTGACCGCTCAACCTGTGATGTTTATGTCGAGAGCTGGAATCAAACTGCCAACCTTCAGATCAGCTATCACCAACTGAGCTACTGCCGCCCCACTTATCACTACCGGTCACCACAAGAGGGCACTACTCAACCAAAATATATTAGTCCAATAAATGTAATGACAAGTGGAATAAAATACTATGTAATCACTGTTAAATATACAGTGCTTGTTTTAGTTCTATAAGAACATCTGGTCTACTGTCTGAATGTCCATTTTGCAACTTCTGTTATAATGTCATTATCTAGTGTTTAAAAGACAATAGACTTTTTTTTGTCCCTTCCTGGAGTGACTCAGAGCCACTTCTTTATTGGCTGCAGTCTAGGTGGGAGGGGCTGCAGTGGGAGGGGCTTCTCATTGACTCCACAGGTGAGTGACAGGTAAGTGCTGCTGTGAGTTCTCACTTATATTTACACAAATAAGATGAGATAATAAAATAACAATACACACTACAACATACTGTAACTTATCTCTTGTACAATGTACAATTTCTTTTTTTTATTAATTATTCACAACATTCATTTCACTCATCAATGGTGATACAGAGTCCACTATTTACATGCCTCCAGACATGTTTCTGGAGGCTTTTCATGGAGATTAATGAGTTCTTATTGAATTTGAATTAAACTGTCTGAAAAATACAAATACCTACCAAAGAAAATAGACACATAAAATACTTTATACTTTATTCTATATCATTTGACTCTTATATTAAAAAGAATCTGTGAAAAAGCATTTCAATTAAAATATTGTCTTCAAAACTCTGACATAGATGTGTAACTGGACAAGAGCTCTCTTAAAGGCATACAGATAAAAATGAACATTAAAGATTTACAGTCATCCCTCGCTATATTGCAGTTCACCTTTCGTGATCTCTCTGTTTAGCTGATTTTTTTAGTGCAATTTTGCATGCCTTTTTTTTTTTTTTTTTACAGTGTATGAAAGTGTGTTGCCTTCCTCCTGCTGCGTCCTGATTGGTTAAGGAACTGAAGACCATTGTCAATCAATCTTCTCCGTGCTGTGTATCCTGTTCAGTACAGAATGCATTCAGCTTCTCAAATTTACATAAATGTTGGATCTGTATCAGTGTGATTCTGAAGTGCTGTTTGTTTGCAAGTTTTCTCCTCGACAAAACTCACAATGTCGACAAAACATTCTGCATTGACAAAGACTCCTGCGCTCGCACCCAAAAGACAGAGGAAGATGTAGCATCGCACAAAAAGTTGGACTTCTGGACACACTGAAGGAAGGGAGAAGTTACGCAGCTGTAACAGAGTCCTGCACCGGGTCGGGTCGGCAAATAGTTGCTGAAAGCAGGACTTAAGAGACAGAACCGCAAGCCCACGCAAGCGTGATCGGGCAATGGCCGCGCTTATCTATGTGAGGGGCGGAGCTCTGTGCCGGTCCTTTCTCCTGCGGTCACCTCCGAGCCTGCCCCGAGAGTGAGTCCTGTTTCAGTTCTGGTTTAGTCATGGTTTAGTATTGGTTGAGTCCTCCTTCTTCAGTCGTGGAATCAGTCCTAGGTTAGTCCTGGTTTAGTCTTGGTTCAGTCTGTGGTGTATGCAGCGCAAAAGTTTGATATAATCTTGGGTTAATGGGCAGGTACGGTGTTGTACTGCGTGGGTGTGGGTCTCAAGAAATGGAGCCATGCAGGACTCTGTGCTGTAGGGCTCCATTATGGAATAAATTAATCTTTGGTTCATTGGGTTAGGGTAAGGAAAATAACAAAAGGATGACAGCAGCAATAAGTTTTAAGAAGGATGTAATTTTTTTTTTAATTCAGGGAATGCTCACACACATGTTTAAGGGGGGTCCCTTAAACATATGCTTGCTCTTTTTCTCTTCAAGTTCAGTAGATGAAACTACTACCATTCACAGCATAGCCACAACTTGATTTTATCACATGAAGTTGAGTTAAACTGAGCTTTCTCCCCCCAGCATAAAATCCAATGGGGTACACAGAATCACTGAGGAGCCATAAGAACTGAAATTAAACCCAGGGAACAACGGTTCAGTGAATGTGGTGTTGAAGGTGTAGAGGTGGATCAGTTGATCAGAGGAGACAGTGTAGAAGGACAGAGAGCCAGCAGGACAGTCCACAAATACTGCTACTCTCCCACAAGAGGAGGACCTGGGATGAGGGAGGGGGGTTTGTTTGTTTTTATGCCAAACAGAGAAACCATGTTCACAGCAGGACAGACCCCAGGACAGATTATTGCCTCCAAATC